TTAAAGATTTCAAATTTAAAAGTATTTCATTCTGAAGTTTAAAAATTCTCAAAAATTTTGAATTGCAAAAATTCAAATTGCAAATTTCTAGAAGTTTTTAAAGCAGAATTTCATTGAATTTGTGATGGAGTAAATTTCTGAGCGACCAGATTATTAAAAATTAACATTGTGAGATTCTAGATTCTAGAATCACAGAAACCAAAATTGGGTTTTAACATTCTAAAATTTTGGTCAGAAGCCTAGTATTCAAAATTAACAATTTAAAAACATAGATTCTTAGAATTCAAAAAGATATCTTGTTATCTCAGTCAAAATTTTGAAATTTATTACCAATTTCATTCTGTAGTTTAGAAGTCTAAAATTTAAAGTCAGATTTTTGTAGATTTAGGATTTCAAAAATTTAAAATCAGATTATAGAATTCAAAGACCTAAAAAATCTAAAAAATTTTAGATTTAACGAAATATTCTAAGAATCTTCGTTACTAAATGACAATTAGTTTCGATTTTGAAATCAAGATTTTAATCTGTAAACTAGAATTTTAAAAATCTGTTTCAAATTGTAAATTCCTAGAATACGTCTTGAATTCTAAAACCCAGAAAATTTTGAAAACGATTTCTAAATTTTTAGGTTCTACATCGAAACGTTTCTAAAATTTAGTCTACTAAAAATTAAAAAAATTCTAAAACTAAAATCTTTTGATTCTCCAACTTTTAGAATTTTTTATGAAATTCTACGCCTAAAGAGAATTTTAGAAATTCCGGGATTCCAGGATTTCTTAACATTTCTTAGAGATATTATGTATTAAAAATTTATCAAATCTCAGAAAAAAATTTAAAAATTTTAAGTGTCAGTATTAAATAATTTCTCAGTTTTTAGAAACAAATCTAAAACTTCGATATTTGTAAAAGTCTAATTTTACTCATAAAGATTTAAATGTACTAAATAAATTCTAAAATTTTTAAATCATCTAATTTTATAGACGTTTTTTGACATTCTAGCTTAGAGGGAATTTTCAGGTTTTCTGAATATTTCTAAAATTTTAAATTCAAGATTCAAATTCTTAATTTTCAGGTTTTTAGGATTTACAATAAATTTCAAAAATTCATCAACATGTTTAATACAACTTTTTTCGTTTTAAACTTAGATTTTTGAAAATCTAGAGTTAGAAAAAAGTCAAAACCGGTAGTTTCTAGAAATACAAAATTTCCCAGAAATACTAAACCAAAACATGAAGCTTTTTATTTAACAAATATTGAAAATCTTAGAATTCTAGAAATTTCTGAGTTTCTAGAAATTTTAAAATTATAACATTCTTAAAAAAAATGATTTTTATTTTTTTCTCGACTCGAAATTTTTTTCACGCCACGTCGAAGAACCCCAATAAAATTTTCAGGTTTTCTGAATATTTCTAAAATTTCAAATTCAAGATTCAAATTTTTAATTTTCAGGTTTTTAAGATTCAAACTTAGACTTAAAAAGTCAAAATCGGTAGTTTCTAGAAATATAGAATTTCTCAGAAATACTAAACCAAAACATTGTGATAAAGCTTTTTATTTAACAAATATTTAAAATCTTAGAATACTAGAAATTTCTGAGTTTGACATTCTTAAAAAAAAATTGATTTTAATTTTTTTCTCGACTCGAAATTTTTTTCACGCCACGTCGAAGAACTCCAAAAAAATTATCAGGTTTTCTGAATATTACTAAAATTTCAGATTCAAGATTCAAATTTTCAGGTTTTTTGGATATCCAAAAATTTATCAACATGTTTAATACAACTTTTTTCGTTTCAAACTTAGATTTTTGAAAATCTAGAGTTAGAAAAAAGTGAAAATCGGTAGTTTCTAGAAATATAGAATTTCCCAGAAATACTAAACCAAAACATGAAGCTTTTTCTTTAACAAATATTTAAAATCTTAGAATTCTAGAAAATTCTGAGTTTCTAGTAATTTTAAAATAATAAATAACATTCTTAAAAAAAATGATTTTTATTTTTTCCTCGACTCGAAAATTTTTTCACGCCACGACGAAGAACTCCAAATATCTTGGCCCTAGCAGGCGGCCATGAGGCACGCCCTTCGAAAGGGTTGAGATGCGTGGGAGTGGAAACAATAGAGTTGACGTCAAATCCCTACCAGGAGCGCATCTCTTGTAAAAAGTGGCCCTTGTCGGCCCTAATCGATGTTGGCCCTGATGGGAGTCACGTGCTGAGGCCGCCGATTAGGAGGGTAGAAAGGGGGCTGTGCGAGCAGCGAGGTCAAGCGCTCCTTAGAGGGGCGACTCAGGCTCAAACTGACGTCAACAACCGAACAGGAAAACATGGGGGCGCAGAGGTGGAAGTGTAAACAACCGACGAGCGGACAAAGAGATGGGTCATGGGCGTGGGTTATTGATTGCAAGCGAAAGAAAACAAAGAATCGAGGCGGCTGCGACGAGAGAAAAACAAACGACGGTCTCACGAAATAATTAATTATTTATTAAAAAAATTAATTTCTGCTTGTTATTTAATAATAATAATAAAAATAATAATTACTCTACTGGGTGTTTGATTTTTATACTAAAAAGCTTAACATGATATTTTTTTTTAAGTTTAGATCTTTATAAAATTTTTGTTCCAAATTCTAAATTCCAAGCCAAAAGTTTTGTCTCAAAATCGC